GCTAAATGTTTGTTTTCATTAACACAAGGAGAGACTCCCTGCGGTGTGGTGGGAGAACTGTGGGCTTCTGATTACAAAAAAAAAAAAAAAAAAAAGTGGCAGTATCACACCGCCGCTGAAGGGCCGTTCCTCTTCTCGACAGGGGGAGAGTTTCTCCACCTCATGGGGTGCCGGCTTCATCCTTCCGCAGGATGATGTCACTTTTCTTCTACCCTCAATTTGTATTGTAGTGGCTCATTTCATGAGTTATGGTGCTGGATATTGAGGGAGTTATGAATTACAGTGTGGTGAGGCTTTTATGGGACGCAATGCTCACCGCTGTAGGCCCGTATTAAAGTATAAATATATTTATGGTACAAGCCGAAGCTGACGGGGTAGCTCAGGTTTGCTCATGGTAGTTAGTAGCTGTCTTCAGAGTCATAAAAACATGGCATCTCATGGATTTTCTATTTACCAGGCACTGGGTGGGCATATGGCAACGCTCGTAAATGTAACTCTATTATCTAAGACGGTGCTGTTTGGTGGGAAGCACGGTGTTACTTATGTCTAAAGAGGAAAAAGCAGCAGTTGTTATTGTCTTGATGTCCCATCTCTCTTTCTGTCTTTGCCTCCGACTTATCTCCAGATCTCCCGTTTCCCTAAAATTGCCTTTCTTTGATTCCTAATTAGATTTTCTATCATGGCATTCCTCTGTGCTGATGTCTATTGTTATTGTTGCCTCTATTGATTTCTTTTTTGTGGCTTCGTTGGTCGGGCTGTTTTGAATTTCCCCCTTAACTGTACACGGCTTCGGTATCGTTCTAAACGGTTAGGTCACCTAGAAGAGGTGATCCTTTCATGTCGGTGGATCCTGGGAGGAATTGCCCGGGCTCTCTGGTTTCAGCGGCCTCCTCCTCCTCCTCCTCCTCCTCCTCCTCCTCTTCCTCCTCTTCCTCCTACTCATGCTGATCTCTTTTCCGCGACTGTACTGGTAGCGACTCCCTCCCTTCTCTCACTGATACATCTGGTTAAAGGCGAGGAATGCAGAGAGTACTGGGAATACTTGTGACACACTTCCCCCTCGGTTCAGGCCTTGATCCTGCCTCCCAAAGCGCCGCTATTCAGGGGGACTTTAGATATCGAAGGATTCAGGTTGGCGGTCTCCGGGGAACGGACTAATGCGAACCGTGCAGAGACGGCTCCTTCCTGGGGGATAATTATTGTAGGCCAAGCTGTACTATTGACAGCTGTAAATGGAGATGCTGTCTGTAACTGGGGAGGCCTAATAGGTTTTTGTCCCTACATGGGCTCTCGTTAGGCCCATGTGGGTGCATTGAAGATGAGTTTGAGAAATGAGCCACGGCCTCGCTGGGTTTCAAATGGGACTCAGAGAGACCGCCACCCCCACCACACTACCTCGATCCTGACCTACTGGGAAAAAGAGTTAACACACAATAGTTTTGGTTCTGTGGTTTGGGCTTCTTTGTCGATGTACTGTTCGATCTATTCTTGTTCTTCATGTGCTTCCATCATCTTGAAAGGACACAGTTCTATATATAGAAAAGAATCATGCAATTGAACAAGCATTGTCTATATATCCAAAGTCCTATATATCTTATTCATGTGAGCCGTTCAGCTCCATTGTCACCATAAACACGGTAACTCTCATTTACTTTCTGTTAGTCCTACATACACCATCTTGCTGCTGGAAATACTCACAAGAGAACCTTTTTTTTTTTTTTAAATCTCTGCATCTCAAAATAGTCCCAAACCAGCTGTTTAAAAAGGAAACTGTATATTTTTTTTTGAGATATTTTTAAAGAAACATTGGGTGTATGGCAGAGTGCCACAGACGAGTTCAAGAAATCTGTTGTTATTGTTAGTTTTGATCTTTTGGGAAATTGTTAACAATAAGAAAAATACAGAAAAACACCAACCTTATACTTTTGCCACTTGCAAGTCAAAGCCAGATCCTACGATTAGGTATTTGTTACAGCCGTTTTCACAAGCTATCTGATTCCTTTTTGTTGTGCCATTATAGATAAATGTTGTATTTGAAATATTTCCATTACATCACAAGGCGACGCCAGCTTTGTTCTTTTTCAGTCAATTTAGTCGAGCACAATTCACTCAGA